AGCTGTAAGCTCCGTCCCAACAAAGGCAGCATCGTCCAGCAGCGCCCGTGCATCCTGGTGCTGGACGACTTCAAGTGCCACAAGGACGAGGGTTTCATCACCGCCCTCAAGAGAGACGCCAACACCATCGTCGTCTTCATCCCAGGCGGGTTGACGCCCTTGCTCCAACCGCTCGACCGCATGCTCAACAAGCAGATGAAGCGGCTGCTGCGGGGCAAGTACACCGCCTACAGCGCGTCGGCGGTCGCAGACGCCCGGTCGGGGAAGCTGAAGCCACCGGAGCGTGGGGTCGTCTCTACGTGGTGCAAGGAAGCGTGGGAGTCCATCACCCCGAAACGGTCAAGACTTGCTTTAAGATCTGCGGTCTCACGCTCGCGCTCGACGGCAGCGAAGATCACGCCTGGTGCGAGCACAACTCCGGGGAAGACTACCGCGACCTTCTCGAGGAGCAGCACGCCGTGTGGCTCGCTGAGCACCCCGACGTGACTCTCCCGCCGCTCAAGCTGCCGAAGGTACCAGAGGGGTTCGACTCCAACCCCATCACGGCTGCTCAGAAGGAGGTCGAGGGGAAGCTGCTGCCCTACGTCGCTGATGAGAGCGACAGCGAGGTGGAGGTCTTGGAGGGCGACAGCGACGTGGAAGTCGTGGAGGGGCAGGGGGGCGGGGGCGCCGAAGGAGAAGTAGTCGAACTTTGAATCATAGTTCTTTGGGATTGCCAGTGAGATTGGATGTTTTTGCGATGGTAGGGGCGCGGGCACGAAGTAGAGTTCAACCCGCCTAGGAAGTACAGTAGTAGGACGTTGGTATCTCGTAGTGGTAGTTTGGTGTGATTTTTTACTTCGTTTTTGGTTTCATCTGCGTTNACTCCAACCCCATCACGGCTGCTCAGAAGGAGGTCGAGGGGAAGCTGCTGCCCTACGTCGCTGATGAGAGCGACAGCGAGGTGGAGGTCGTGGAGGGGCGGGGGGGGCGGGGGCGCCGAAGGAGAAGTAGTCGAACTTTGAATCATTGTTCTTTGGGATTGCCAGTGAGATTGGATGTTTTTGCGATGGTAGGGGCGCGGGCACGAAGTAGAGTTCAACCCGCCTAGGAAGTACAGTAGTAGGACGTTGGTAGCTCGTAGTGGTAGTTTGGTGTGATTTTTTACTTCGTTTTTGGTTTCATCTGCGTTTAGAATTGTTGAGTGGATGCCGTTTGCCGATTTGCCGATCTTGATTCTTCAGAACGAAAAGAAGAGAACAAAGAGTACAAATACCACATTTTTGAACATCGTCATGGTGCCAAGGGCAGTAGTAGCAGTGGAGCACGCGATTCAAGCTCCCACAGTATCCGGAATTTCCAGCACAATATGCTGGTGAAAGGGTATCAATAACCGCCAAACCTCACCGCACATATCGGCATCTCCGCACAGTGTGCGGAGACGACGATACCTGTGCGATAATCTAGCAAATCATTCGGAACTCGCTTTTTTTCCGCACACCCTGTGCCAAGACCCCGATATGTGCCGAGAGCCCGATGATTACGGTACTTGTTCTCTCACCAGATTGACCATCAGCGTCCTCCTACGGTGCGTGCCGAGAGCAACTTATATTACAACAGTGTATGGGTGCATGTAGTTGGCCTGTGACCACGGAAGGCGCCCGCGTCAGGTGGAACGGCACGCATGTTAGCAGGTAGTGAGCGGAGACCGGAACGGTTCTCCATGTGACATGTGAAGACATCATCATCAACACGAAGACCATACGGCAGAAGCATACATTTGGTTGCATCAATTTGTGTGGTGGAAGTCGCGTGGCCGCAACCCCAACGGATATTTAGAGTTTGTGGGCTGTCCGGTGCGTAGTTAAGGGGTCGGTCACCCCGAGAACCGCAAGAGAGCCAGCCTTTTGATTTCTGCCGCCGGAGGCTTTGTCCGCGCGTAAGTTGGCTCGATGTGGGCGACCTGTGCCGCTAATTGTCGAGTGCCCCTGACCCTGTAGAGGCGTCTTGCTCTATGCACCACACCACGGGTGGTGATTTGGGATGCATGTGGCATGCGGCCCTAGCCATATGGCAAGAGCAGTTTTGGGGTTGGTCCACCTGCGTTCTGGTGCGCACGGCTTGTCTGCCAACAGTTGGTCGTAAGGTTTGAACCCGAGTTGGTTGGATATTGGCATTTCCGTCCGTTTGCTTTCCGTACGTCCCGTTAGGGTTCGGCTCGTTGGCTGAACGGCAGAGACAATCTGCAAGTATTCCCTCGCGTGTTTTCTGTGTTGTCTTCGGTGTGGCTGTCAATACAGTACTACATTACACGGGGAATACCGAAAGTTTCACGGTGGCGTCAAGTCTTGCTGAATTACTTCGTTTTCCAAGTCTTGCTGATTTTATCTTGACCATAACGAAGTCAGTGTCAGAGTGCCAGACCCTTGGTAGTCTGAAGATTGCTCGTGATGCGATCAACGACGTTCTGGGCACCTGACTGGAGCAGCTGGTTTCTTGTTGGAATTGGTGTCGACACGGTGAAATGTGTGCTTGCGCGAGACTCCTTCACTGAGTTGCTTTGCTTCCTGCTTTCTGGTTCCTGCTCCCTGCTTCCTGCTTCCTGCTTCTTGTTGGGGCAAGTGCGTCCCTCGGTGAAACTCTTGACAGGCCCCTCCAACATTCGGTACGAATGTTCACCCTGCAAAGTCCATGTACACGAACCCTCTATACTTGTGACTCGACCAGCCACTTTTTCTTCTTCCTTGGTTGTAGGGATGGAGGAGGAACATGGAGGATGCACACCTGGCCTTGCTAGACCTACAAAAGCACCCGCAGGAGGGAGGGGAGCGGCAGGGGGGGGGCGAGGAGGTCAGGATGTTCGGGGTTTTCGACGGGCACGGAGGTGAGGGGCCGGCGGCTGTGAAGAAATCGACAATTGACGGCAACCTTCACGAATCGAAAACGTGTCACTTTCTCGGCAAACCATCTAAAAGCCTAGCCTAGAACCTTGCCTTTAGAGCTCTTGCCAGCCGACATAAAAGTTTCTAGCCACGGAAGAAGAGAGAAATGGGGCGCTGTCTCGGCAGAATACTTTAACCCTAACCCTAACTCTAAAAGCCGAACGGAAAGCTTGCCTTTTTGAGCTACAGTAGCGCTCGCGCTGAGATGTTTATTAGGAGACGGGTGGGTGTGTCTAGCGTGTCCTGTGCAGAAGTCCAGCACCATCACCACGCGGTGGTAGCTGCGTGGTTTTGAGTTTTGAGGGATAGGCTCCTCCAGAAAGAGTCAGCGCTCGATCGTTGTTTTTGCCCCACCAGCTTGAGGTTTGGAGTCAACCAGCAAACCTTATTTTGAAGCTTCCATTGCAGTAAGGACTGCGTTTTTTCGATCCCTGTATCTCGGTGCCGTTTGTTGACGAACTCTGCCGCACATAGATCCCGTTTCCATTCGAGTTGGTGCTTTGTTGAAAGCTTTGTTGAAAGCTTGATATTTTTGACGAAAGTGCAGCCTGACCTTTCTCCCTCCCCCACCCCACCACGCCTATATTGCGCCAAGGTACGCCTAGGCCTCATGTAAAACCGTAGTGAAGCGGTGCTCGACTCTGTTGGTGGGGTTTCTCACGAGTATGGTCTCTGCAAAGAAGGGCGATCACCGGTCAAATTGCTTGGGAGGCCAGCAATTGAGACCCCTACCCCCTGCTGTATCATACCCCCAGGCAAGGAAGTGGCTTTGTTCGTGCAGGAGCACATGGCAAAAGAGCTGGTCAAGCTTGAGGAGTACAGGGGCGGAGACTACCCGAGAGCCTTGGCGAGGTATCCTGGATCCATGGCATGATTGACGTTTTCGGCGAGAGCGACCGCCGTGCTTGATTACTTGATGCTCACTACGGTTCGGAGTGCGTGGCCATCGAAACGCCGCGTCGGGCTCTTTCCCGTAGCGAGGGCCATGTGTCACATCGTCTCTCGTACGGTTCCTTGGTAGACAGCCGGTAGCTTGTGTTGTGACGAATCGGGAAGTTGGATCTCGGCGAAGTGACTAGTCCAGAGTATGCCCAATTTTTGCCCGAGTGCTCTAGACATTCTCGGGTGCGCATGAGGGAAGGAGCTGCTGAAGCCTTCTTGCCTTGTCACCTGACGGTGTGCGCTGCGGAGGATTTGGTCCACCCTGAACTCTAATCGGAACTGTTCTGTTGAAACGCCACCAACGCTAACCACAGCCTTACCCGTCGAGGGTGCCAAGCGCCCGTCGTAAATCGGGCCAATAGTCTAGCTAACCAATTCTTCCCCCCCCCCCGACACAACCGTTCCTTCAAAACCATCAACAAGGGTATTCCATCGCATGGACGAGTTGCTAGAGGGGGCTGCTACCGAACTTGTGCGGTCACGAGGGGATTTGACACAGGGAGAATCGGGCCGAAGCGAGGCGGAGACGGAGGTTGGGGGCGATGCCACCAAGGGCAAGGAAGGAGAGGAGAAGGAGACTAGAAGTGAGAAGAAGGAGGGCGTAACAGCGGGCGTTGCGGACATGGAGACGGAGACGGCGTCCGCGGAGCTGCATAAGGCTATCTGTCAAGAGCTCGCGGAGTACAGGCGAGTTATGTTAACTGTCTTGGTCTATTGCTGTCGGAGTTGGGCTTCCTCGAGCCGTCATAGGGCGTCCCCCGTAACCGCTCGGGAAGAGGCGATATTCCGATATTCCGATGTTCCGATATTACACGGAGGGCTTCCTGTCCGCGAGGACCCCAAGGCCTTCCCTCGGGGCCGTGAGCCTTTGGTTCTGTCACGGGAAGCGCCCATCAATCCTCAACTACCCCTCGTCAACAAGCATTCGTTGTACGTTGATACGCATGCCTTGGGGATGAATTCGCCCCCTTGACCATTAGGGTCCATGCATCCACGCTCGGTACATATATTGTGACTCTCCCGTGCACTTCCATAACACATCCAGATGTCGGTTTTGTATCTACAGTGGAAGAGTACCTTCACTTGATGTCATGCGCTCAGACGTGCAGCAAGGTTTATCATTGTGTGTAACCCATACCCGCCGGTGTTGGCTCTTCGCCCCCTTGCCTCAACGCTGTTGGTGTGGCCTTTATGTTCACGGACAGATCGAGGAAAAACCCGAGTGATGAGGAGGCCGAGGAACCACCATTGAAAGGTAACCCGCCCCTTTCAAGCCCGATGGCGCCCACGCCGTTAATTTATGCTGTGTCTCCGAGTAGTGGCGGCGCAGTGTGCTTTTGGGGCAGCCTCAAACGAGGTGTTGTATTTTTCCGGGACGCGGTTGTTGCAATGCGCCGTGAAACCTTGACCTGTGGTGGTGTCGTGTAACTCATAACCATCGTAACCATGCGACGCTGATGTAATGCTGTGACCAAGCGTGGCAGTCGATTGCGAAGCTCGTTGATTTCTCAGCAACAGGGGGGTTCCATAATATCCGCGTATCGTTTGTCGAACCACACCGTCGGAAAGCTAGCTAGCTCTCCCACACCCTCCCAACACCGCCCTTGTCTACGGAAGCCTGTTCCCTGTTCCCTGTTCCCTGTTCCCTGTTCCCTGTTCCCTGTTCCCTGTTCCCTGGTCCCTGATCCCTGTTCCCTGTTCCGTGCTGGAGAGATGTAAAGCGTAGAATATCCGCTCTGGATCGGCTGCGTTTTGTTCGTCGCTCGTGCACTGGGCAGTCAGTCTCTATTGGTGCGATGCAGGTATTTTCTCCTCCACGCCTCCTGAGACAGAGTCGTTACCATATCAGAACGTGTATCCCTTCTGTCATCGCCATGTGCACGGGCGGATGGAGACATTCAAGCGTTGGGAGTTCACCCTCCACACCCCTCCGCTCCGCCCTCCGCGAAATGTCCACGACAAACGTCCACGACAACATCAGCGGCGGCGAGCACTATCCTTGGCTCACGGCGGGACTACGACAGCGATGAGGAGGATGCCGGGGTCGGCGGCGACGGCAGCAGCGGCGGGCACCGCAATCTAAAGGACGAGGTTGGCGTAGTGGACGCCAGCGCTGCAGACAGTGGCGACAACGATGTCCTCGAGCTCGGTTCCGGCGGGCCCAACGGCGGCGGCGGCAGAAAGATCAAGATGGCCGACGCTCTTGAGCTCTTCCATCGGATCCTGGACATACGGAAAGACCAGCAACGCATGGCCGCCGCTGCCACCGCCGCCACGAACGGTGCCGGTTCCGACCCTTCCTTCGTAGGAGGCGGGAAGGACGACGACGCTTCTACCTGCCCCACTCCCCTCCCCTCCGACACGGCCTGCGACGGTGGTGGAGAACCTAGAAGAGACGGTAGCGGTAGCGATCAGGTAGCGCCTTCCGAGGGGGGAATGAGGGGCGAGGCAGTGTCTGCGGGGGAACGCGGTGGGTCCGGGGAGGGCGCGGCGGGCGTAGCGGCGGCGGCAGCGGCGGCGGCAGCGACGGCGTCGCCAGCTGAAGNGCGCGGGGCAGGAGGAAGAGGATGAGGAGGAGGTTAGTGCACCAGCACAACCCTTGTCAGTGTGCTGCATTGCCGTATCCTCTAGACCGAGTTCTAGCGCCGTGTGTCGAGGGCAGCAGGGCAGCAGGGCAGCAGGGCAGCAGGGCAGCAATGGTGGTCGCGGGGACATCGGAGCCCTCTTGTGTAAGGGGTCTAGAGAAGGCTTGGCTTGTGAGGGGGTGCTACACTGCGCAGTTGGTAACGTACCGTGTGGTGGAGATATCAGGCCTAATAAGCGTGAAGCACAGCAGGGGGGAGTGTTGAACGATGAAAACGAACCAGCCGCGGGTGTGCGCTCGACTCTCTTGAGGCGATATTCGGACCAAGGAGAATATGTGTGCAGATAAACAACACTATTAACGCCTATGTCTTGCATGCCAGCGGCGGCCGGCACTTTGGGGAGTTCGAGGTCGGGCTTGTGTTGCGTTTCAAGTTTCGACGCTTCAGCAACAGCCTCTTTTTCTTGCGTGATTTGCTCTCGATTTCTTATGTCGTTTGCGAATGTGACAACGGTGCCTACGATGCCTGGAGAGCTTGCCACATCCTCCTCAGGTCGTTTGTCTATGGTAGAGATGTTTCGATCCGCTACTGTACCTAGATCAGATTCATGACCACCTTCGGTTTCGATGCCGTAAAAATGTTCGGTTTGCGAAGCGAACATTTTTTTTCTGTTCCCGTTCTCTCTTGAATCTTCGACCTAGCGCTGTTTGGTTTGCGAAGCGAGCGTTTGCTGTCTGTTCCCGATCTCTCTTTTAGATCCTCTCTTCGACCTATTGCTGCTTGGTTTGCGAAGCGAGCTTTTTCTGTTTTGTTGCCGTTCGCGGAAGGTCGCACTATCGCAAGTGGAAGAGAGGACTCAAGAGCGATCGGGAACAGACAGAAAACGCTCGCTTCGCAAACTTGGGGTTAGCACTAGGTCGAAGAGAGGATTCAAGAGAGTACCGGAACAGATGAAAAACGCTTGTTTCGCAAACGCTTTTACGTTCCCATGACATCGTTGTCGCTTGAGCCCCCTCTCTGACCAAACGCTGCCATGCCATGTTGCTGTAACCACCAGGGGGAGGATACCTTCGGTGACAGTGACGAGTCGGAAGAGGACGATATCGTTGTCACCACCAGCCCTGCCGGGGGGGGGCGCGGATCCCCCGGGGGTGCAGCGGCGGCGAGGCCTCGATTAGGGCTTGGGTCAAGCCTCGCATCGATTGTTCACGGCCAGGGCGGGAACGCTCCGACGTGCAGCCTCCAAGATCACCCTATTCAGGTGCCTAACCCCAACCCGAATGCTGGCGTTGTGTTGTTGCTGAAGCTCCCATCGACCAAGATTTGCGCTTCTTAGTATGTAGCGGTGCCTGCCGTGTGTACATGCCGTGGCGGTGTCGTTGTCGTGGAACTGGCGGTAGGGATGTTGAATGTGTGTAATATCCCAAGGCCGTGTATGCATATAACGAGGTGTCCTTGTGCATACAAGACAACAAGCGACCTTTGCCGCGAATAAACGTCCTAGTCATCAAGTATGTCATACAAGTAGACCACTGGCAACCGGTATGTACGACGTTACCATTACCACCGACAAGCCCGCTTGCAGCGGAAGTGCCAATCGCGCTGTCTTCACAGCATGCAACCGTGTGCTTGATCGTTTGGAAGGATTGTCACATGTTTGTGAGGGTGATTTCTTCGGTTCTCGGGATGCCTGCCTGTGTTTGGCTCCGATTCCTCCGTTTTTCGTGGTTCAAACGGCGTTTGTTCAGAAACCTAGCTCTGTTTCTCATGCCATCGAGGCAAGCATCCAATAGCGCGCCGAGTCCATCACGACCCATGCGATGCTGATTGGCGGGCAGCCCAAGGGGTGCTAGCAAGTTTGTGTGACGCGTTTTTGGTTCCGTTGTGTATGCCTCCGTCTCTCTGTGTCCGTCTTCTGTCATCTGTCCCTGCCAGAAAGAAGCAACCGCTCACACACAGGGGGTTGAATCACGAATTATTGTCCGTGGGCCCCCCGACGGGGTATGCCTCCGTCTCTCTGTGTCCGTCTTCTGTCATCTGTCCCTGCCAGAAAGAAGCAACCGCTCACACACAGGGGGTTGAATCACGAATTATTGTCCGTGGGCCCCCCGACGGGGTATGCCTCCGTCTCTCTGTGTCCGTCTTCTGTCATCTGTCCCTGCCAGAAAGAAGCAACCGCTCACACACAGGGGGTTGAATCACGAATTATTGTCCGTGGGCCCCCCGACGGGGTATGCCTCCGTCTCTCTGTGTCCGTCTTCTGTCATCTGTCCCTGCCAGAAAGAAGCAACCGCTCACACACAGGGGGTTGAATCACGAATTATTGTCCGTGGGCCCCCCGACGGGGGAGCCGTAGACAGGACTTGGCGTCAGGATCCAGCGCCCGGGCTGAGAGGGTTTGGAGATTCTGACGACGGGACACCATTGTACAGCACTTCTGTCGTGTCTCCATGCTAGATATGTTGTCATAAAAGCATCATGATCGCTTCGTTCACCCTGCTGTGAATTATTGAAAATATTCTGCCCAATTCCTTGTCGTGTGCGTTTGTTTTCGTTTTTGTTCGCGGTCGGCAGGCCGGGTGCACCAGCGTTGTTTGCCTTATGGTCGGGAAGGTGCTGCACGTGGCCAACGCTGGAGACTCCAGGTGAGTTATGCACTCCCCTCGCTTTGTTCGACTGTTCCACCATGATGATTTTGTGAGTGTTGCACATGTGTTGCGACTCGATGAGTGTTGCACGCTAAACGAGCCGAAGCCCATGTTTTAGGCCAAAGAAAGTGGAAAGACGCGCCGCCTTGTCTTGAGCGGACATCATATCACCCGTTTCCACGCCAACGCTGTGCGCCGTGCCCAGGAACACTCCTCGAAGTCACGTTATGCCCCAGCCCTTAACCCACTTTCTGACTCGCGTTTGGAACGGCGGTTGCCCTTAACCTACAAGCAGGGCGGTGCTGTGCCGGGGAGGTGTGGCGGTGGCCTTGTCCCACGACCACAAGCCAATGTCTGTCACCGAGAAACGTCGGATCGAAGGAGCTGGAGGCTTTGTTAATGCGGTGAGCCCTCACAGCGTGGCGCGTGTGGCAACGTTTTTGTTGTCAGTAAGAGGGAGAGAGGTAAGATTTTGTGAACAGTTTCTGAGGGCTTGAAGGGAGAGCTATGGTGGTGGTCCCAGCGGGTTAGGGTCAGGGTAGGAAGGAAGTATTGGGGGACAACGCCTGTTGCAGATGCCTCGAGGATGCGGGGATGACAGGGCCTGCTAAGGACACCACGATCACGCTTGGCAATGTACGCACAGCCTTTAATTCCCACGCAGGGAGTCGGCCTGCGGAGCATATAGTATTGACACTTCTTGCCAGGCCTCAAATATTCCCGCCGTTCCAAGAAGCTGTTTCCTGCCTCCCACGTATTCAGCCACTTCGACCACCCAGCTCACTTCCTCTGCGGGATATACGTCCCACACACCCCGACCTTGTTCCGACGTGCACGGTATTTCGTGCTCCCCTCCCCCCGCTTCAGGCAGGACGTGTAAACGGCAACCTGAACCTGTCGAGGTCTATCGGTGACCTCAAGTATAAGGCCAACAAGGAACTACCCCCGGCGGACCAGATGATTACGGCAGAACCGGACCTCAAGTCGGTGGAGGTCACCGATGAGGACCGGTTCATGATACTTGCATGCGACGGAGTCTGGGACTGCATGACGAGTCAGGAGGTAGGGTATTAATCGATCGAGACAGCGATGCGCGTAAAGTACGAAGCCGCGAACGAACGCGCGCGCGCACTATTACATGTGCTGTTGCGTACGCGGCTGTGCGGCTCCGTGCTTCTGTCTCCTCACGTGTCTTCGTGCACCCTGTTGGGTGTACGTAGGTGTTGGAAGCATTTCGAAAAGGACAGCATGCCTTGCTGTAGGTCTAGACTCCGCGTTAGCTTGCCTCGTTTGGGTCCCGCGGGTTGATTGTATGTACTCCCAATGTGCCGGTTACGGCGTTACGAGAGGGTCGCACAAACCGAAACCGCTCTCTCTTGTCCGGCTTTCTCGTACGCCGTGTTGTTCCTTTTTGCGAGAGGGAAGTTCGATACAGATATGTGAAAATGTCTTTTATCGCATGCATAGCCAACTCTCGAGGGCCGTTCACAGCCATTGTCATTTGCAAAATGGATGTCAGAGCTCCATGAGTGCATTCAAATCCATGTGAACGTCATGCTGTGCGTCATGCTGCGGCAATGCCATTGCATTGTATTCGTTCATCGCACCATTGAATCTGTTTTTCTTTAGCGCCGATGCACCTGAAAATCAAAACGAAGTACATCAAGCCGTGCGCAAGCAGTTACGTTTGCGTTTTGCTACGCGCTGTGAAAACAAGCTTTTCAACATTTGGACGTAGTAGGTGACTGGTGCATACACCCTTACAGGAACATGTGCAGAATACAGAAACTGCGTGTGCGCTCCTTTTCCTGTCACATTACTTATCGAATTGCGTGGCCGTGATTCCAACCCCCTCCCCCGCCCGCCCCCCCCACCCCGTGAAGTGCTCTTACGCTTCCTTCCTTCGCTTGCCCCCCTTTGTTTGTGATGTGCATTCATATCATGTCCTGTGCGTGGTGATAGTGTGTTGATTTTGTCGGCGCCCGAGTAGGCAAGATGTCGCTGTCGAAGGTTTGCGAGGAGGTGATGGATGCGTGTATGTCGGATGACCCCCGAAGGACAACCGGCATCGGCGGCGACAACATGACGTGCATCGTTGTCCTCGTGAGTGCCGGAGGGTAGCGCAGGGGAAGGGGTGCATGAACAAGCGGGATGACAGAAGGAAGACGCAGTGGGGGTGTACTCATAGTCGTGCATGCCCGTAGTCGTTAGACCATTGACCTCGCATCACTACAAAGCCGGGACGGAGCACGCATGAAGGGTGCGCTGCATCCTGCTAAGGGTGTTCGGCATCTTGTGCTTACTTGCTTGCGTGCGGATGACAGCTGCGTGTGACTTTTTTTATTTTCTGGTGCTTTCACTTCCAGAGGCAGGTGCAAGCACTGTGTAACTGCCTCGAGGGTCCGTGACCAATTCACCACAACGCGGTGCGATCATCCTCCTTGCGCGGAGCGAGGTTCTCGACCCCGAACCCTAAGATCGTTCGAGCGTGGTCTGCATTAACCGTCCCGTGCGTTCCCGCTGCCCTCGGTGCTCAGCTTGACAAGACGTTCAGCGCGGAGACATTGCCGCCGCGGGGAGAGGAAACGAAAGATAGCGCCGACGAGGGCCCCAGCGGTGTTGCTGTCGAGGAGGGAGGCGCAGGAGCTTCTGCTGCTGGTCCGGCTACGGCTGCTGGGACTGCTGTTGCGGATGACGAGGCACCGGCTATCTCTCTGGAGGAAGGCAAGGAGAAATGCCGCAGCCCTTTCGCGAGCAGCGGCGATGGGTTCCAAGGTTGGGTCGGCTAATTGGGCTCGACAAGGCGGCCCAGCTTGCTTTGAGAGACGCGGGAGCGCAATTCCGTTTTATCCCGTAGACTTGTTTTGTTGCCTTGAAAAGGTAAAATAATTAAGAGGCCTTGCGACGATGATGTTGAATCTGGGGGGCGATTCGACCAGTGTAGCCCCGGTACACGTAGCTGTGTTTGTGTTGGTATGCAGTCTCTCTTTTGTTTTTGTTGATGCTCTTCGGTTGCTGGCCTGTTCATTATCCCCGGAAGGCAAGCTGTGTCGTCCGACAGTGAACGAATAACCAATGGGCAGCTGGGTGTGTGTTTTGGCAACGATCTCCGCTACCTGTTGCCCTGTGGAGTCGATTTAGTTGGTGTCCTAACCCTTCCTCTCTCGCATCTATGAAACATTAACATTTACTCCAGTAGTCCATGCTTTTTAAGACGCACACTCTTTGGTCTAGCACCCTGAAAAGTATTTAGTATGCACTTTGGACTTGACTTTGAGACGATTCGCGCCAAGGGGCTTCGATTTGGGCTGTCAGAGATTTATTTTTGTTCTCTGGGGGTGCGATTGATCGATCGAGCGCCCTGTGATCATGCGTTTGGCTACAGTGGCTTGTGCACCATAATCCATGAGGTTGATGATGTTTGGTGCTGCCCATGGGTTGATTGACCGGTTGTTGCCTCTCGGCGGAGGATGGTGTCGTAAATGTAGTCGGAATGCAATTGACCTCCTTCGTTAAAAATTGGTTGCTCGACATGCTATCGGTTTGGTGCTTGTTGCGGACCTGTGGGCGAGATCACCGCAAGCTCACCCGTGCAGAGCGAAGAGGACATCTGTCTCCCGCCATATAGGAGAAGATGGTGGAGGGGGCAGGCGAAATTTGTCCAGGGTTTGTACAAGACGCACATGCACCCACCCCCTCAAAGGCGGGCAAAGGCAAGGCCACGCAAAGCGCCCGTAGAGGCGGGTACATAGGTTCCCATCTTCTTAGTGCCTCTGAGGCATCAAATAGGCTTGACTGGCGTCGTAATGAAGTGATGCCTATTTTGTTTCTGTTGTACGGTTCCCTGATCGTGGCCGGGCGGTGGATCGGTGTGGCTTTGGCGATGTACAAGACAAGGAAGGGAAGCGAAGAGACACTGACCACCGCTGGCGGCGAATAATTTGTAGATTTTTGTTTGTTTGCGTGTTTGCAGCGTTTGTTGGCGACTTGACTAGGTCTAGGTCTAGGTCTAGGTCTCTTGCGGGATGTGTCGTGGCGTGAGGGGGGGGAGTCGTGTACACCGCTCGCTATGCAAAGGAATATTCAGGTGTGTAACATCTAGTTTGTACATTCGACGGACTGCTGTGAGTGCTAGTTGGACTTTGCGCGAGTAGTATTTTGGTTTGGTTTCGCAGGATAACATCATGTAAAATTTCGATCAACCAACATCAACGGCACTGTTTTTTCCGGGGGGTTGCTCTCTCTCACATCATGGATCCTGTTTAGCGAATGCTTCTGCTGCTAGGTCGTACTAACTTCATATCGGTGTTTTTGGTCGAGTGAAGCCAGGCACAACTATGGTATCACGGTTGTTGCTGTCTTCACATTAAAAACCGTTCGGATCTCTTCACCCAATACCTTCATCTGTCCGTACTAGCCTAGCACTTGACGCGGTCGATACCTGTGGACGCAGGCCAATGCACCCAAAAAAGGTATACAATACAAAATGGACCCGAAGGGTCCGCAAGTCAACAGATTTTAACGACAGATAGCCTAGAATCCTCCGCTCCCCTCGACACGCTACGCGAGGCAATCCTAGACTGGAAGAGAAAGAAAAAGGAAACAGATGGCGACAAGGAGAAGGACACGCCAGAACCACCATTGCAGCGACAAACAAGAAAAAAAAAAGGGGCCACCCGATACATCAAAGGCATGCCATCGCTGGTGAAGGGTTGGTGCAATGGTGCGGTGACGGGGAAGGGGGGGGGGTACTCAGTCGCGCATACTGTGTCGTTATACCATTGGCTTCGCATCCCTACAATGCCAGGACGGAGCACGCCGGGTTCTCACCGGACCAGGCTTGCACATCACCAAGCGCGAAGCGCCGTGAGGTATTCGGCGAGTCGCATGAAGGGTGCGCTGCATCCTGCTAAGGGTGTTCGGCATCTTGTGCTTACTTCCTTGCGTACGGATGACAGCTGCGTATGAATTANAAAAAAAAACAAACGGTAACCTGGTTGCCGAGTTCACGACGTGAATTGACTTGTTTTACA